AGGCGGGTGCGGCCGGGGTGGGACCGCAGGGAGGCGGAGCTGGTGCCACCCGCCCCGGTGCGGCACAGAGAGGCGGGTCCCGAGCGCTGCCCCCGGGTGGGACGTTCCGGGTGGGACGTTCCGGGTGAATCCCCCGCCCGCTCTCACAGGTTGGCATCGTAGGCTGCGTTGGTGAAGATGCCCGGGGCTCCCAGGTCACTGTAAAACAGACACGGGGGTGTCACCGCGGGGGGACAAGGGACGGGGAAGGGCAGAGGCAGCGCTGCCCCAAGAGGCCCTGCTGTGCAGGAACAGCCTCGCAGCGTTACCGGGGCGCCCCGGGGTGAGCACAGGGGTGACGGGGCACAGCAACCTGCAGGGCAGGGCTCTCACCTGGTGGGGCTCAGGAGCTGCTTCTTCTCCTCTGGCAACGGTGTCAGACAGACAGAAAAGAAACAACCAGATATTTTTAGTGAGGGACTTAACTGCAGCAGCAACGTTTGACATTGAACAGTGTGACAAGCAGGGAACGGAGCAGGGAGGGGGAGCCGAAGCATTTGCCTTCTCTTCCCCTTCACAATGAAGTCGGTTTTTTTGGCTCTGTCCTCCAAAACTCAGCTGCTGCCACGTTTAGCTGGACAGAATGCCAGGGGCGTCACGGGCACTGCAGGACCAACGCGACTGACGGCAAAGAGGACAGGAGGACCGAGGCCGTCGCTCTGCTGAACTCCTCTGACCCACCCTCCCCTAGGCCTGCGCAACCACCTGGTCCGAGAGCCCCATCCCAGCAGTGGGACGGGAGGGTGTCTGTGTCTGTACCTCTGCTGCTGAGGCGCTTGGCGAGGAGGGCAATGAGCGTCCCCGAGAGCACGACGCCGGCCAGCGCCAGGGCCGCGCCGCTGCTGTAAGCCAGGACCTGCTTTAGGAAGGGCGCGCTGTCCTCTGCAACACATCGCACACCCGCAGCTTAGAAAGTTGTCGGAAGGACTTCACAGCACTCAAGTTAGTGAGGTGCCCTCCAGCACATTGGAGATGTGCTGCAGGAAGCTGGACCCCCTCCCACTGTACCTGCACAGGCAGGGGGCTGCCTGGTCCAGTTCCCTGTGGCTGCACACTGCAGCTCCTCTGCTCCCAGCCGAACAAACCCCTCCTCGCAGGAAAAGGTGCACACAGTGGTGTACCCGAAGTTCCCGTGCACATGAGAGCAGTTCAGCTGGCCTCTGCTAGGGGGGTCCAGCACTGGGCAGCTGATGGCTGGAGATACAACACAGAAGTAGCATCAACAGGACAAGGACAATGGTGGTGGGATGGGAACAGGTGGATGAGCTGCCATGGACTGGGAGTGTGAAGGGGAAAGGGATGCTGGGGAATGCAGGCTGCTATTGCAGAGCACTTCCACACACACCTGTCAACATAAGAACTACCTTCACATTGTGGGGCATCCCCAGTCCAGGTCCCTGTGGCTGTGCATTCACGTGTCTCTGTCCCCAACAGCACAAACCCTGTCTGGCAGGAGAAGGTGCATGTGGAGCCAAAGGCAAAGTCCCCGTGGAGGTGGAAGCAGGCAGCCTGGCCCATCTCAGGGGTGGCCAGTGCTGAGCATTTGACAGCTGCAAGGGTAAAGGAGCACTCTTCAGGCAGGAGTCTGTTGGGACCAAGAGGCCAGGGAACATCCTAATTTCACCTCAAGGCCTATGACATGCTGAGCCCTAGCAGCAGCTCTACCTTCACAGTGTGAGACATCCCCAGTCCAGGTCCCTGTGGCTGTGCACTCACGGCTCTCTGGCCCCATCAGCACAAACCCCTTCTGGCAGGAGAAGGAACACGTGGAGCCAAAGGCAAAGTCCCCATGGAGGTGGGAGCAGTTCAGCTCTCCTCGGTCAGGTGCAGCAAGCACTGGGCAGGTGACAGCTGCAGGGACAGAGATACCCTTCAGCAAGGTGCCTGGGAAACACAGGGCAAAGCTGCTGGGAAAAGAGGATCAAGACACCTAACAGCATGCCAGGGTCAACCCAAGACCTGAGACACCTTGAGCAGCAGCTCTACCTTCACAGTGTGGGGACTCCCTAGTCCAGGTCCCTGTGGCTGTGCACTCACGGCTCTGTGGCCCCATCAGCACAAACCCCGTCTGGCAGGAGAAGGAACATGTGGAGCCAAAGGCAAAGTCCCCGTGGAGGTGGGAGCAGTTCAGCTCTCCCCAGTCTGGAGCACTGAGCACTGGGCAGGTGATGGCTGCAGGGTAAAGAGGCAAACTTCAAGCAGAAGCCTGTGAACTAGGAGACTAAGTTGGTGGGACAAGATGATCAAGACACCCAGGAACATCCCAGGGCCAACCCGAGACCTGAGACATCTTGAGCAGCGACTCTACCTTTACACTGTGCAGCATCCCCAGTCCAGGTCCCTGTGGCTGTGCACTCGCAGCTCTCTGGCCCCATCAGCACAAACCCCGTCTGGCAGGAGAAGGCACATGTGGAGCCGAAGGCAAAGTCCCCATGGAGGTGGGAGCAGTTCATCTGTCCCCAGTCTGGAGCACTGAGCACTGGGCAGGTGATTGCTGCAGAGGTAGAGACACACTCCAAGCAGGAGTCTGGAGACTGCAAGGCTAAACTGTTAGGACCACGATGCTGGGATGACAATAGAACATTTCTCAAGGCCAGTGACACCCTGAAGTCTAGCAGCAGCTCTACCTTTACACTGTGCAGCATCCCCAGTCCAGGTCCCTGTGGCTGTGCACTCACGGCTCTCCGGCCCCATCAGCACAAACCCCATCTGGCAGGAGAAGGCACATGTGGAGCCAAAGGCAAAGTCCCCATGGAGGTGGGAGCAGTTCAGCTCTCCCCGGTCTGGAGCACGGAGCTCTGGGCAGGTGATGGCTGCAGGAATATAGATATACTTCAAGCAGGAGCCTGGGGACTTCAAGGCTAAATGCTGTTAAGAGCAAGGAGGCAGGGAACATCCCAGGGCCAACCCAAGGCCTGAGACACCTTGAGCAGCAGCTCTACCTTTACACTGTGCAGCATCCCCAGTCCAGGTCCCTGTGGCTGTGCACTCACGGCTCTCCGGCCCCATCAGCATAAACCCCGTCTGGCAGGGGAAGGAACACGTGGAGCCAAAGGCAAAGTCCCCATGGAGGTGGGAGCAGTTCAGCTCTCCCCAGTCTGGAGCACGGAGCACTGGGCAGGTGATGGCTGCAGGGTAAAGAGGCAAACTTCAAGCAGGAGCCTGTGAACTAGGAGACTAAACTGTTGGGACAAGGAGCCTGGGGAACATCCTAGTGTCATATCATGGCCAGTGACACCCTGAAGACTAGCAGCAGCTCTACCTTCACAGTATGGGGCATCCCCAGTCCAGGTCCCTGTGGCTGTGCACTCATGGCTCTCCAGCCCTTTCAGTGCAAACCCCGTCTGGCAAGAGAAGGAACACGTGGAGCCAAAGGCAAAGTCCCTATGAAGGTGGGAGCAGTTCAGCTCTCCCTGGTCTGGAGCACTGAGCACTGGGCAGGTGATGGCTGCAACAAGAAAGCAGGTTTCAGAGACAGGATGGATGAGGTTAAAACGAGGCAACTTTCTCTCCTTTGTGGCTTCCTGCTATGCTCTGTTCCACCCACCTTATATCTAACCTCATCTCACCAGTCCTTGCCCGCCTCACAGTAGCCCAGCCCTGCCAGGATATACCCTTTCCCCAGCTGTGGGACAGCAGCCTCCCTTTGCTCTCCTCTGAGAAACCACTGAGACTCTGAGCACCCTCCCAAGGTGGATCAGGGTGGGCTTAGGGAGAAGCAGATGATGCCACCAGGGTGATGGAGGAGCGAAAACACTGTCCTGGCCCTGCATGCGGTGTACAGAGTAATGACACCTGAGTGTAGTCCAGGACAGAGAGTAAGAGCGTGGGGAGAGCCGGGGAGAGCAGGGCTGTTATTCTGAGCTCGCAGCTGCTCTGCCCGTTGCAACATCACCAGGGGACCCCTCCCTGCATGCAGCGCCAGGAGCTGCTTCCCCAAAGGGCAGGGCCACAGCAAGCCCAGCCCCTTGCCTGCCCGAGCTATGTTGGGCAAGCAGGACTGACTCCCCAAAGCTTCAGTGCCACATGCCCGAGACCCCAGCCCCTGGCACACCTTACCTGTGCAGGTGGGGGTCTCTGCTGACCACTGTTGGGAAGGCAGGCACCGCAGTGTGCCTGTCCCTTGCCGCTCAAACCCCTCCCGGCACTCAAACGTGCAGGTGGAATTGTAGCTGAAGTCTCCGAAGGGATGGCTGCAATTCATTTGCGCTTCTCCCCTGGGCTTGAGCTCGGCACACTGCACAACTGGGAGAGTCACAGAGCCACCAGCACGTTAGGGCCATAAATATCTTGCCTGCTTTGCCTTCAGGGCTCAGGCTCTCCAGCAGCGGGACGGGGATGGCTGGGGATGCTCACCGTCCTCACACTCGGGGCCGTGAAAGCCGGGGTAGCACTCGCAGCGGTAGCTCCCGATGGTCTCCACACACTCCCCACGCTGGCTGCAGGAGAAGGGCTGGCAAGAGGCTGCACACACAGAGGGTGGTGGTCAGGGGCCACTGGCCAGCCTGCCGAGGCGCCCAGCCCTCCTGACCCTGCTCCACACTCACCCTGGTAGCACAGAGCCTTCTTCCTGCGGTTGCAGGGCTCGTCGTTCCACTTGCCGGACTCCTGCTGCCGCTTGATGTAGATCTCCACGCAGTCCTGGTTGGAGCGGCGGTTGTTGGGCTCCCCGGCTGCCCAGTTCTCCGCCTCCTTTGTCAGCGCCTTCCTGGTGCCCACCCAGGTCCAGGTGCCGCCCAGCTTGCGGATGCCGATCCAGTAGTAGCGCCCGTGGAAAGGCAGGCTCTCATTGAGGTACTTGATCTCCCGCTTGTTCTGGATGGCTACCAGGTCGGTGAAGAACGTCTGGCAGTAGTTCCTGGCCTGCTCCCATGTGTAGTCTCCTTGGTCGCTATAGTGGTAGGTCCAGGCACTCACCTCCAGTCGCGTCAGGGCACCTGCCAGAGGGGGTGTGGTCTGAGATCGCCACAGAAAGGATGGGCACTGAGCTGGGGATGGAGTCCTTTGGGAGATGAGGGTGAGCTAGGGCTGGCATCTGGGCCAAGAGGTGCCAGCAGCCAGCTGGGTAAGGGAAGAGAATGAAGGGACAAGCATGGGTGAGAACAGGGCTCACGGAGACCTGGGTGGATCAGGCGTGGCAGAAGGAGCTGAGGTGGGACAGAGGGGGAAGGCACAGGGCTCAGGAAAGTTTGGGAGGATGGGGTGAAGGCTGAGACAGAGACCAGCACAGGACAGGGCAGGCTGATCACAGGTGGCAGAAGAGCCCCAAACAGTGATGCCAACCCCTCCTCACACACAAAGCTTGGTACAGCCCTGCTCCCCTGCCCACAAGGCTTCCCAAAGGGGGGAACCAAACACCAAAATGTTTTCTTAAAACACAGTTCCTTCCTCAAGCACAGAAGTGTGCTACTTTAGGGTTTTTTTGCTTTACACTTTGACATGCAAGTCAGCTTGGAGCAAAGCAGAACAACTACTACGCCCCTACCCCAAAAGCCTTTGGAACCTGAACTGTTCATTCAAGGCACAGATGGTCTGAAAACTCTTGTAAAACCCAGTATTGCAAAATAACATCTTGCAAAAGCCAAGTTTACATCCCAGTCATGCTCACCAAGCAAGGCAAGACCAGAGATTAACTGGAGCCCACACCCAGAAGCAAAGGGCACTCTGTTGAAACCCTGCTCATATTTACAGCATCTCACACCTCAACTTCATGGTTTGAGCCACAACAATCAAATGGTTTGAGACACAAAAAAAGCTTTCTCCCTTCCTCCCCAGAAGCAGGTTCCTCCATAAATGCAGAAAGTGAGATGGGAATCATATCTCCCTCGGTGCAGAAAGTGAGATGAGGATCAAAATCTGCTCAAAACAACCAGCCTGGGGCACCCTGTGGCTCAGGAGAATGTATGACATGATGGTCACACAGATTAGATGCAAATCTAGGGCTTCCCAAGTCTAATTAGGTCTTTAGTTTGGCCAATAACTACATATTTTTGTAAGCAAATTTCCCAAAGCTTGTATGTTTTTCCTGGTGAAAGACCAAACTATCCACTTTGTTTAACAAAACTGAAGCTGAAGAAAACATGACCTTAACCAACAGCCTTCTTCATCCCGTGGGAGTTTGGGGGCTGCAGACAAGAAGATCGGGGTAACTCCTGGACACCCATCCCATGCTCAGCTGCCACCACCCACCTCCCAGCCCTTGCTATCTCCTCAGCACGGCTCAGGACAGCTACCCTGCTACCCTCACACACCCTATCCCCAAACCAAGAAGGGCCAGGGGAGCCCATCCATTACATAATCATCCTCCACATGCTGACCAATTTCTTTCCTCCAGCAGTAATACCCTCTCTGCAGTACACCTCATCCCTATTCCATCCCCTCAGCCTTATGTTACCTCTCCCTGCCCCACCTGGAGCTCAACCCCCAGGTGGATACTGTTTGCCTACATTTCAACCTTCTGCATTTGCCTCTGCTCCTTAGCTCAACCACAAAAGGTCCTTTGGAAAATAACCCAGCTCATGAAGGGTCTCTAGGGACAGAGCAGGCACCAGCAGGTTTTGCTCTGTGCAGTGCCAATGTGTGAAGGAAACATCCTACAGGCAGGAAAACCAGATTAGTTTCTACTCTGATTTCTCCTCCTTATGTCCATTAGCAATTCTAACTCTGTGTGGTGCCCCCAGCCCTTCCACCTGTGGGTGCTGCTTCGCAGCAAGGGGGTACAGCTGTTGCTGCAGTTCATGGTACAGTTCACCAAATGCCATGCTGGGTTTGGGGAAACAAACACCCTGTGGGGACCCCATGTGTGGCCTGACCCTGCCTGAGGGAACAGAGTCCTGTGATAAGTCTGGCTGGAGGGAACTAGCCTGGGCAGACACAGCCCCCTCCCAGCTCAGAAGAATCCAGCCTGGGGATGTGCCTGATGAGCCCCCAAAATATCACTGCTGTCCTTCTCCAGTTTCCTGGACCTGCAGAGTCCTCAGCAGCAGGGTCATGCTCAGCTTACTGAGGCGGCAGCAGGTGGCTTACCCCATGCAAGGGCAGCAATGCCCAGGTAGCAGATGCCATGAGAGGCCGGAGCACTCGTCCTCCCAGCAGACCGCAGTCGTGCAGCAGTGCCCTGCGTGCCAGGGAGAGAGGTGTGAGCATGCATATCCCACGGGGGCTCACACACCCTGCCGTGCACCCCCGCTGCTACAGAAGGGGCCCCTCCAGTGAGGCACTCCAGGGGGGCTGTGCCTGCAGCACAGCTGGGCAGTGGGAGAGGCTGTGCCAGCAGTAAAGTTCACTCCAGGGGAGCTCCTGAGTCCAGGGCATGCCCTATGGCCCCCACCCTTCTCCCTCACCCAGGGCTGGCAGCACCCTCTGCACCTGGCATGGCCTCGCTGCCCATGGCAGGTTCTCCCTGGGCAGCCCGGGTCCATCCCATGGGTCCCCAGCAGTGGCACTGGTTCCTGGCAGCTCCTGCCTGCAGCCCTGCCTTTCCCTAACCCCCTTTTCCAGGCAGATCCAACCCACCCCCAAGGAAAGGAGCAGGACCTACCATGCCAGCACCGCTGACACACCTTGCCCAGCCGCCGGCAGCACCAGGCACCTCTGGCCCTCAGCGGGCAGCAGTGCTCACACTTCCTCCAAGTGCACAGACCTCCCTGCCCTTGGCCTCTTCCCCTCCCACCCCAGTCCTGCTGTGAGCCCGCATCCTGCCCCGTGCCTCCGCCTCCCCACCACAGGACTCTCCCATGCCCAGAGATCCTGCTCTCAGCCCAGGGGCAGAGGGGAACGGGGGGGCAGCCTCTGCCATGGCCCTGGTGGGACTCACCTCCTCATCTGCCCCATGGGATGGAAGCTGAGTGCATCCCCACACTGGCCTGTGACCCAACCTGCAATCAGCCAAGTCTGCCAGAACCCCCCAGAAGGTGCAGAAGAGTCCAGCCCCAGCCCATGGTGCCTAGGGCACCGAGACCTCTCCGACCCACCATGTCCATGTTGTGGTGCCCACACTGTCCGTAGGAGGATGGGAGAGGGACAAGGTGTGATGAGTTCCTGCACGGGCTGAGTGGGAATGTGGCTTGCAGCCTCCCAGCTCCTCTGCCTGATGCTCTCCTCACTCACAGGCTTTTTGCTCTGACTATGACTCTTTATATACAGTTTATAAACAGTTATTACACAATTTATTTTTCTTTCTTTGCTTTTAAGTCTTTTTGAGAAAAGTCCAAGAACATGCCAGAGGAAATTCCCCTGATTTATTAATATCCTCTATGAACTTCCATCGATGCTTCAGGAACATGCCTCATTGTGTCCACCTTCCCTTGAATCACTCCTGAATCATCATAAATCTTTCCTTACCCTCTTATGCTTCTAATTAAAACTGCCTTGGCAGGGTTTTCTGCTGGAATTACTCTAATCACTTCCAGCAAAAGCCAGGGCGAGAGCCATGCAGGTCACATGCATTTTCCAGTTCCAGAGAAATGGATGCGGCTCCACTGGGACTCATGCTAGACAAAAGGAGGAACCCATCCCACAAAAGCTGTAACCCACTACAATGACTATACTCGGCCAGTGTAAATGAGACTTAGTTCCTGTCTCTGGTTATCTTCCTTGCAAAATGTCTTACTGCAGTTGTCTATTTTTATGGAATTGCTATGGCTTTATGTCCAGTAATCCCGTAGTGCTCACTTTCTAGCACCTCCTGTGCAGAGGGTGTGCAATTACGGCAAAGGAAGGAGCAGCCAGGAGGGCAGTGAGGAGGAAGGGCAGCTGCTGGAGCAGGAGAGCATCTCCAAACACTGAGGGTCACTGAGGGTGGGAGCTGGTTCTGCCACGGGGTGGGAGACCCTCTGGGAGATAGAGGTACACAGCCCCAAGGGGAGCAGGAGGTGCCCCTGCCAGTTTCACTTCTGCTGAGCCCTGACATGGTAGGGCAGGGCAGTAGAAAAAAATATTCCCACCTCTATTTTTGTAACTAAAAATAGTTTCTAGTGTTGTTTTTAAAACAGAAGCAAGGTGGTGCGACAGAGGCTGATGCTTCAAAGGGCAGAACGTGGCCAAGTTTAAAGCTGTTTGTGGGGGCCCACAAGGACCTGGCCTTAGAGAGGGGGTGCTGCGTGGCAGGACGGGTACTGAGGGTTCCTTTGCAGATAGCAGAAGAAGGCACATGGGGTTGGAGGGAGAGAAAACCCAAATCAGCTCTGGAGCTCTGTTGGGAGCTGGCTAATCACCAGGAGCCCTTTCTCATCTCAAGTGTTTTCCATGGCTGGTTGCCCGAGAAGGATTCAGGATGCTGCAGGACACATGCTCCCTGCTGGGTTCCTGCTGCCCCACTTAGCAGGGGAGCGCCCATCCCTGCCTTAGGGGCTGAGCAGTGCAGGGATGTCCAAGGAAGCAGCACGGTGCATCCTGTTCCCCTGGACACCCCGCCCCCCGCCCCCCCCGAGGGCACAGCACAAGCTTCGAGCCTGGGGTCTACTCAGCAGGGGTTCAAGGAAGCAGGTACAAAGGCAGGCACGTGTGTCACCTCCTCACAGTCCCTTTGAGCCCTGAAGCGATCCGGAAGGGAAATACGCCTCCTTTGCTGGGAGCCAGTCCTTGGCCACAGCCGGAGGCAATGCTCTCTCCGGAGAGACCTGCCACAGGCTGTATCTACGGGGAAGGGTACGGGTGCCCCACTCCCACCTCAAAAGGGGTTGGGCAACCCCCCCCCCCGCTCCCTCCTGGCGAGCAGGGCAGGATGCGGTGCCTGCCTGAGTACCCTGACCGCTCTGGGAGCACCCAGGTCCCACAGTACAGAGCCTGTTTGTGCTGCATGGGGAAGTGGGCACTGGGGGAGATGCTCCAGGCAGGGCTTAGCCTCAGCAGAGAGTTGTCATTGCCCCAGGGATAAGCCCAGGCTGCACCCCACACTGTGTCCCCTGGGAGTGCTCAGGAGTTGGTGGAGCGAGACCCTGGGGGCAAGGGGTGCAAGGGCCACCCCTATCAGCACCACACCACACCCCCCCCTCTGTGCAGAGACACACTTGTGTTGTTTTGGGCTCCCACCCCACGGCAGCACAGCCTGTCCCCCTCCTTGTGCAACATCCCCCTGCAAACCACAGAGGAACCAAGTCACCCTGACACAGCCCGCCAGGCTCGGCTGCCACCGGCGATACAGCAGGGACCTTCCTGGGGACACACACACACACCCGCTGATGGTGAGGGCTCAGCAGCCCACCGGAATGAGGAGGCACCTGATGGTACCCCTGCAGGAACGTGGGGTGGTGCTGGCAAGGACCCACACCCCGCTGGGATGCAGCTGCGTTCCTGGGGCAGCTCATCCCAGGTCTTGCAACACCCTGGCGAGCAGAAGCTTCAGAGGCACCTCTTGAGCCTGAGCTGGGGATGGTTTCCCCCCACTGCAGGTCCCCAGCGGGTGTTAGACCCAAAGTGTGTCCCTGAGCAGCAGGGTGCCTTTGGGCAAACCTCCCAGCATGATGCCTGGCTTGCAGCCTGGGCAGCCAGACCCTCCACTCAAGGCCCTGGAGGAAAGCAGAGCTTAGTAAAAACTTTCTCACAATTTGAAAGTGTTTGGCCACAGGAAGATGTGTTATCTGAGTGTGCCCTGGCTTGGAGGGAGTGAGATGGTTGCAAGGATCAGCTGGGGCCAGGACAGGGATGCTTCTAGGAGCCTAGGTGCCTTGGCACTCTGCAGCAACCCCATGATGCTGTTGCAGCCCCTGTAGTAGATTGCAGGGGTAGTTTTGGGCAAATCACTCCTGCCCACCCCAAAGGGTTCCTCTCAAAGATGTTTCTTTCATCTCAGCTGCAGGACAACTTTCTGCTTTGCCAGTGATGGAGGACCTTTTTGCTGGGCACCACTGCCAGCTGGGTGCCCCTTCCCATGCTGCCTGCCAGCCTCCTGGCAGCAGCAACATGTGCATGGCACAGATAAGGACTTGCCAAACAGGATGCCGTGGGCGTAGATAACACCGGGGTTATCTCACTGCTTATGTGCTAGACAGTAAACATGCAGCTCTGCCCACCCGGGGAATCCCAGGCACCACCTCTGTCCTACCAGCGAGCTGGGGCACAGGATGGGTACAGGGTGCTGGGGGCAGCTCCAGGGATGTGCTGCATCCATGGCCCCACAGCCATGCAGGCAGCCCTTGCTCTAAGCAAGAATGAAACCACTCAGCCCACAAAGCCATTCCAGGGAACCTGCCCAGCTTGCCATGACACTGTGCTTCCCTGGAGGGCTGGGGCCACTGACCTGCCTGGCCATCCCTCTACAGCACCGACATTCCCAGAGCAAGGGCAATGCCCACAGCCATCAGGCTGGCTCAGCATGGGATAACAGCCCCAGGCAGTGGAGGCATTGACAGCTGATGGGAGCAGGCCACCAGCACCCCAAATGTCACCCATGCTTTTGTTATGTCTGGTTTAATGCAGAGATATCAGTCTTCTCCTACCTCACAAATCGAAGCAAGAGATGAGTTCCCATGGCCATCACCCCCTGCACGCTACTGCCTGCTCCTCTCCCATATAGCTCTTTGCAGCATGGGCTCAGTCCTCCCCTGCTCCCCGGGCAGAGCTGCCCCAGCCCACCCAAGGCCAGCAGATGAACATACTCAGCACCGAGCCATGCCTCCAGCCAGGGCCAGCCCCCAAGGAGCAAACAATGTCCCTTCCTCCAGCCAGGAAATCCTGTGGCACCCCCTCCTGCGAGCACTGAGCCCAGCTGTGTTTTACCCCAAGACAGAAGCATCCTTGAGGAAGTTCTTCACCTTTTGGCAGGCTGGGGCTGAGATTTCCTCTTCTCTTTCTCACCTCCCCAGTTCAGCGCAGCCAGTTGATTGATGCTTCCTCCCCTGGGATCTTCATTATCTTTCTGCTCCAAGGAGCTACTGTGTCCTGTGCCTTGCCAGCCTACTTACATTGCAGATTAAATTTCTCCAGGTAAGGCAGGCACTGGCACAACATGTGTTTTAAGTGTTTTTTAAACGGTTCAACCACTTTGCTTTTGTGGATCTATGAACCGCCCTGTCCATGCTGCCAACACTGTTGCAAACCACCGGGCTCTGCCCTGAGCAGTGTCTCCTGGGTGTGTGACCCCAGCAACAGGGCAGCCCCATCGGAATTGCCCCTGCTGTGCCCATCCAGTCCTCCTTGCACGGGGTCAGCAGTGCCTGCTGAAGTTGCCTCTCTCTAACAATCCTGACTTTGGGGGCAAGCCCCTGCAAGAAAAAGAAAAAAAAAGCCAAAATAACAAGGGGCAGAATATTCCTAAGCATTACTTCTCACCTTTGAAATTAATTTCTCCTTCTCTGAATTCTCTCAGCTCTGCTTTAAGAGCAAGATGGTTATAAACCCCAGTTTAACTGTGCTTCAGCCATGGGCAGAGGAGTACAGGCTCTTCCACAGCTGAGCAGCAAAAGCAAAAGGTCTTTTCTGCACTGTACTGCTAGGAAATGGCAAGGAAACACAGGGAGTGCTTTCCTAGCTTTTCATGTATATTTACCCTTGAAAGGAAAAGGACACTTCTGCAGAGAGGCATTTTTGGATGGACTCACTGGTCCAAGAGATAGCGAGGATGGATCTTATCTCTCCATCCCATCCCTGCTGCTCTGCGTGGGACTTGGCTGCCCCAGCCCTGCGCTGGAACCATACCTGGTTCTTCCAAGGAGAACAGCACGCAGGGGCAGCTCCCAGGGCTGCCCAGCTCCACTGCCACCTCCGGCGCCGTCACAACATTGTCACACGAAGGCTCCTCGGTGCCCAGCAAGAGCTAGAAACACGTTTTTTGCTCTGTGGGTGCTGACATCCCTGGGCAGAGGCAGGGGACAGGGGGCAGCGTCTGTC